TAACTATTTGCATCCACACACACGCCATCATTTTTACATAGTTTCCACATTCACACAGGGAAACCATTTGTTTAGCTTCGGACTTTTAATCCTTTAGCAGGTTGAGTCAGGACAGCTATGCAGAGAGTTCTTCTAACTGCCACTAACATCGACTAATTTAAATTAAAGTTAAGATACATTAATACTGGGTACATGCTGATGACATTAATCTATTCTGAAAGGAAAATTCATAATCATCAACCTTCAGTTAGGTAGTAATTTAAGTATGATTATATTAATGATATAAAGAGGCTGTTGTTTTGGTTATTTCCTAAAACAGAAACCAGGTAGTCAGTTAAAAGCTAGGTCTTTGGAAATGTGATCAACACAAAGGCCTGTAGGGACAAAAGCACAACATGGGGTGGAGACCAGTCAGCTTGGCTGATGGTGCACAAAAAGGAAAATTCTGGACCGTTTATTGGAATACACATGGTACATAAAGTTTTATTGTGTTAAGGAAGTTTTGGTTGTGACATAGCAAAGCTTAGCAATATTAGTTCTCTTGGTTCCAATAACTTTGAAGCTGTGACACCATGAGTGCAGTGGGTAGTTGGGTTTGGAAAAAATAGACAAGAGTTACTGTTAGTATGAACCTTTTAACAGCATAAAGTAGCAACTTCAGCAGGACAAATGACATCGAACTGGCTTTGCTCTTACTCATGGCTATTTTCCGGTCTTCAAACAGAGGAAATTTTGAAAAAGGAAAAAAAAAAAAAAGGGAAATATACAAAATTCCTTTTTGGGTTTATGAATCTTCCATCAGCTCATTGAACTGCAAGAAAGGGATCAAATGTGAAACGACTGACTATCACAAAGCACGTGCATTTTAGGCAGCCTCTAACTCACCCATATTCCAAGAGTAATCACTTTCTCTCCCACCTGGATTGGCTTGGCAACAAAAGCAGCACCGATGGTCTGTCAGAAAGAGAGAAGCAGTGGGGTTAGACACTGCAAACATATGATATGACTGCTTTCAGCCATGTTAGATTGATATTTGTCAGATGATATGTGGATTTCATTTTTTCTTAAAGCTTTTCTCATTTCTCTAATTTGTGCCTCCTCGAAATGTACGCAGGTTTTGACACAGAAATCAATCTCATTGCGTCATACTGAAAGACTTCGTGTCTCCTAAAATCCATCTGGAGGACAGAGGAAAGGAAGAGAGATGGCTTGTTTTCTATATGAGTGTTGTAGGAAATGTAAGCAATATCTAGATTTTCCAGAAAATCCTAAATATGCACTTTGAATACCATTAAAAGCTATTTTTATCACTTTGACGTTACTTGTTTTTTGTTTCCATTTGTAGATTTTAAACATGATGTGTGTTTACTTACATCTTCTATTTTAGTGTTTGTGTTTTTGGAGACTTGGAAGGCTAACAGGTTTGCCTAAACCAGAAAGCATTTTGGGTTAACTCCTGCGGCTTTAAAGAGGCTAATGACTTGTATAAAACGGGTGTGACACCTAGCTGGAATAAACGAACCATGGTGGGAAAAATACTTGATTATTTGAGATGATTAATTGGATCATCAAACTTTCTGCACCTCACAGTATTGTCACATGGTGCAATTATAAGTGGTCCAAGATATAAAACAAGTGCCATTAATCCTGTTGGGTCTAAGAAAACAATTTATGATGCAGTCATATTTAATTGGAATCACTTTAAAATAAGGCTCATAGATGAAGATGGCTCACTTTGTTAAAAGCCTGTTGCATTGCACACACCTAAGCTCGAGGAATAGAGAATAAATAAACTGTTAAGTGAGAACGAGGGAGGTCAACACTGTGAGGATAAAACCAATACTTTCACACTCTCACATGGAGAAAGTCATCAACAGAGCAGCTTCTTTTACAAGCTAGAATTGAGGATGTCTGCCTCATAGGCCTACAGCTGCAGAAATGAGTGAGCTGGAGCCTTAAATCCTTAGGTGGGGCCTCCTGGTTGTTCCAGACCTACATCTGAAGGTGCCTACTTTGGAATTACCTACCTGAGGAGATTAGGCTTGCAGAGTGGGTAACCACCTCTTAGAACTCTCTTTTACTTGATGTCTTACCTTATACTTTTGCCTTCTAGGCTCCCTTTATTCTTTTCTTATACATGTATAAGTTTACATTTTTTGTCCAACTTTAATGTTTAGATCTGCCATTGATTGGTCTGTGTTTGTCTGTTTGTCAAAGCCCTTTGCAAAGGTGGTATATATAGAATGTTTACTATACCGTTATTATTTATGGAAAATGCAGCATTAGCTTGCAGAAATGTACTAAAACATTACTGCAACCCTACTTCCTGTCAGAGCTTTGACGCATTGAAACAATCACAGACTTGATCTTCTGTTACCACAGCCTCCCTTGGGCTAAAGTTAAAACTGAAGCCCTTCATGGAGGCAGCAGACGAACATGGAAAATTGAAGTGGAGCAGCTGACACTCACATTCTGGTACGGGCCCACCAAGAAGCGATGGTGAACATATCTCTCCACCAGACTCGTCTTCCCCACGCTCTCTTTTCCTAGCATCACCACTTTGACGTCCACACGCATTGCGGTCATAACGACGGCGTCTGGAAAAGCCAGAGAAGAGACCACGGCACAGCAAACAAGGGAGAGCAGAGGGGAGTTGATTTATAAGGCAGCTGAAAAGAGAAAATACACGAGTTAGAGACTGAACTTTATAAATCATGCACTGGAAACAATGAGAAATTACCAACTTAAATCCTCACCCGTTCTGTAAGAGTCTGTTAACACCATAGTTACTTCACAGGGAATCTCACAATCATTTTTTTACGATTTGAATCTCTGGATGCATTTCTTTTCTTATTTTTTCAAAGATGAAAGTGAAACAAAACTGCAGCAGTAAGACCCAACCCTCAAAAACCTACATGAAAGAGGTAAAGAAAAGGGTACAATTGTAGCCTTAATTTCTAGTTTAATCTGACTAACAACATAAAACACGAATTATTTCCTTTATAATTATAGCTACTACTGCATAACTGCTGCACTTGTCATTGAAAATAACCACTAATTATCATAACGTAGATTAAATATTTATACACTATGTACTTTACTATATTATTTTAAGATAACCTGAATTTAAAAGGAAAGTCTTACTAGGTGTGTTTCTATTCCTGAGATATAGAGTTAGCTTTAATTAGAGTTTTACTAAAGTCTCTTTCTTTTATTTTCTCTTAATAAAAAAAAGCAAAGGTGTGGTTTTACTACCTTGCATGAAGCTAGAAATGATCCAGCTAGCTTACTTGCTCAAACACGGCCGAGCATTATCTTTACAGGGTTTCAGGGCTCCCGAGTTGGGCTAGGCTACATATAAAAACATCAAAACTCACCGGGTAGCTAGCTTGACTCAACAAATCTCTCGTAGCATCAGATCTCCTCCCAGCAGGAACCAAAACCAAGGCTGAGCCCCGTCTATCAAATCCGCTTTAAAGTGGACACAGCAGCCGTCGGCTCGCTCTTCATCTCTGCTCCCAGCCTCGCAGAGCCGGGTGGTGTTAGTACTGGTAGCGCTGGCGGTTAGCTCGGTTAACGTTATTATTGTTGCGCAATGAGTGAAATTATAAACAAGCCTTCAGTCAGCTGAGCGTGTTACCGGGACACACGGGAGCCAACTGGTCATGGTTTCTGGTTATCAGGAATCCAGTCCTCTGAAAACAGGTTCAGGTTACTGCCGCTGGGGCAGACACGAAGCTAAGTATCGTCTCTGTGAGGAAAAAAATCGCCAGCTGAGCTTTGTTTGGGTGGGTGGGAACCAAATACCGGAGAGAGGCGGTTTCCAAGAGGAAGTGGACCGAGTTCTATGACACAATCGACGGATGTTGAAAGCCACAAATGACCCTACCACAACCACAGCTTTTTACTGTTATTATTTAATTCAGTCTGCCTGTGTGCACCTTAATCTCATCAGAAAATCACCCAGAATTTTTAAAAAAAGAGACTTAAATCTAGAAGAATACAAGATTACAAGTTGCACACATAATAATAATATGTATTGATTTAGCATATTATACAATTAATTCATGGATATATTTATCTCAAGCATTAATTATTGAATGAGACCACCAGGCACAAGAAAATGATCCACTTTTTTAAACTTGATTTTATAAAAACATTTTTATTCAAAAGTAACAGAGAGTCACAAAAAGACATAAAACAACCAAAAACACTTTCACACCGAGTCCAAAGAAGCGCGTTTCTGTCATTTTGCGTCTCTGTGTTTGTTTTATGTGTGTTGCTTTGTTTCATTTGTTTGTGTTTAACTTATAATAACATAACTTTGTTGTGGTGGTCATTTTTATCTCTTTTAATAGGAATATGTAGCCATTATGTAGTTGTGCTGGGATCTTCTAAACATTTTAAGCCTGTTTTTGTTTACATTTACTTTTTTTTTTTTTTAGAAATATATCTTTATTTACTTATTTATTATGTATTTATTCTGTTTTGGAACTAATTAAAGACTTATCATATTAAACATTTCTAAAACAGAATTATTGTTAGTTTTTTGTGTAAAGTTATCAATATAACTATTGACGATATCCACCACAGGACCAAGGACATTAATTTAATTCGGGGACCAAATGAAGAAAACAAAGACCACATACACAAAAAAGACAAGATGCAGTCAAAAACATCCAAAATGAACACAAAGGAATTAAGAAGCATTTGTATAAATTTGCATCTCTGTATTTATTTTGTGTTGTTTTGTTTAATTTGTTTGTTACATTATATAACTGTTTGTAGTCTTTTATATCTTCTTTTAGTGGTGGTTTCATGTCGCACCGTAACTTCCTTGTTGTTTTTGGCGCTTTTTAGACTTTTTTTGGCCTCCACAGATGATTGTTACATGGACAAAGTACGATATCTATGGAGGCACTGAGAAGACGTTGATTGGTCCAAACAGCGGACTGTAAGGGTGAGAGAGAACTGTGATTGGTCCAGGGATCACAAGCGCTGGCTCGGCCCTAAGCCGTTGAGTAGTGTGAGGTCAGGCTCCACCAATCCCACCCAGCACACACTGTTCAGGGGAAAGAGACGACAACATGGCCGAAGCAGAGAGTAGCGAGTTAACTTCTGGTGGAATTTTTCAGGAGATCTTCACTTCTCCGCTGAATCTGACCTTGCTCAGTCTCTGCTTTTTCCTTTTGTACAAAATCTTCCGCGGGGACAAACCACCGGAGCTCAGTGAGGAGGATAAACCACTGCCCAAAATGAAGAAGAGAGATTTTACGCTTGCGGAGCTGAAGCCCTACGATGGGCTGCAGAACCCGCGGATCCTCATGGCCATAAACGGAAAAGTGTTTGACGTGACCAGAGGGAAGAAGTTCTACGGACCAGGTAACGTTCGCGCGTGCAGTGGTTACTAACTGTGGTGTCCTCGTGCCACGAACAAAACCAACGGCAGTTAGTTTAGCGTGGGTTTTAGTTTAGTTACTATCGCTAAATGCAAAAAAAAAAAAAAAAACTGTTGCTGCTTGGCACAACTTTTAGTTGACTTCTGTGTCTTGGAGCTGGCGCCACACCCCCTTTAGTTGTTTAACTGAGATCCCGTTTCATAACAGAGGGGCTGCGGTGGCCTTGGAGCCAGAGATCGTCTATGAAGACGTTGAGTTCTCCTTAGAAAAAGGGCTTGATCCCTGCAATGTTTAAAACATACCCGATGCTTCTTCTGTCCATAGAAGAGTCCAGTCTATTAGGGGTTTAAAACTACAGTAGGGACCATTCAGGGTTTTATATGAGCCCCGGGGCATCCAGGTAATATAGTAAAAGCACAACAGTATGTACTGTGCGGATGGAGGACATAATATAGGAGTCAAAATATTGGTGCCTTCAGAGCTTGACACAAAGTAGATAGACTCTCTGATTGGTCTGAATGTGCTGTTAACATGTAGTTAATGTCTTAATAGCTGTTATCTAGATTGTTCTTTTTTATAGCTTTACATTTGGACTACTTTGAATTAATTTGACTATGTTTTTTTTGTAGTGACTAAGCAGAATTGATCTAAAACTCACTGCACCATCTTATGGTACAAACTGTTATTACACAAAAGTACAACCCAGCCCTGGTTCAGTTTCACTTGATGTGTCATCAATGCAATACACAACGCTTTGGACACAGATATAGCAGTTGTTTCTGATGATAGCTTTACAGAAAATGGACAACAATACGTTTAAACCAAACAAAATCACTTAAGCTGCACATTCCCATTTCTGAAAACCACTTTCTAAGAGGATGAAATGAAAGAGTGAAAATCACCAGGACTGTCATCTTTAACAAGTTTTTTTTAAGTTCCATTTAATTAATAAAAGCCAAAAATATGTTTAGCAAATGGCCAAAAATCTAAAGAAAAGTCTGAGGCCGTGAAAACACAAAATTTAAAAATTAGGCAAGTAAATTAGTTAGGGAAGTATCTGGATGTGGATGATATGATTTCCTGGACACAGTCAATTTTCTCTGTGACTTTTCACTTCTGTGGAAACGGGCACAGAGTGAGCACTCTCGGGTTTTGTCTTATCTAAGAATGTAACCTCTGTTGCGTGTAACCTCTGGACAACATGATAGTCATCTGTCACGCAGATTTTCTTAGTGCATTCCACACCCTGCCCTGTAGCCTAAATTCCACGGTTTGTCTCATTTCAGGAGTTTGGATCATTTATATTAAAACTTGCCCTCAAGTTGAAAAAGCTTTGGCAGCTCTCGAGGAAAACCTTAGGACTGGCTGTTGTTTGCTGTTGGGGGGGGGCAAATAAGGCTGATTAACTCTATATGCTGATCTTTTTGTTATATCTTTTAAATAAATCCAAACTGAGGCAGGTGGTTACTCACCTAGTTCAGTATACTCTGGGATAAGACAGCATTCGTTAGGAGTTTTAAACACCCTCAATGATATGAACCACATCTTTGGGGGGGTTTTGGGGAAAATGTATCATTATCTGTATTTGAAATAACCTTTCTTTAACGTCAGATTTTTCCTCAGCGCGCTCTGTGGTTTAAAGACAAATATTCAAGATATTTTCCCATGCACGATCATCTGATCGTATGTCTTCCTCACCTTGCAGATGGACCGTACGGAGTGTTTGCAGGCAGAGATGCATCCAGAGGTCTGGCAACCTTCTGCCTGGATAAGGAGGGCCTGAAAGATGAACACGATGACCTGTCGGACCTGAACTCCATGCAAAAGGAGAGCCTTTCTGAATGGGAGTCTCAGTTCACCAGTGAGTGGAAGATAAAGCACACTGTCAGGTTATTAGGGTCCAAAAATGCCACAGAAAATTTTTTAAAAATGTTTTACAATTCTTGTGTATTTTATAATTTACTAAGCATTTATAGTAAAATAAAGCCTGTACTTAGATCAACCAGGGTTTCAGTCAACAAGTATGTCGGGCAGTTTGATTTGCCAGCTCTTAATCCATTATCTCCCTTTACCCTTTAGCCACAAATATTTATTTTCCTCACTGTCAGTAGCCTGTTATCAGATTAAAAGGATATCAGATTACAACTGGATTGCTTTAAGATTGTTTCCCATCATGCTCATAGTGCAAATTTGCAAAAACCTGTTGGAACCGTGGAGGTGAAAAAGGAAGAGATTTTGGCCATCTCTGCCATTTATGTGTTCAGGGCTTTTTCCTGAAACAGCCCAGAAGCACAGAGAGAGAGAGCGATCAGAGAATGTCACTGCTTGTATGAGCTTAAACAAAATTGCAGTGATAAAATGTTTGATTTTCATAAGAAAATGAGAAAAAGAGTAACTTGAGGCGGCTCTGGATGAGTTTCATGGCCACCTCACGCAGGTGGCCTTGGTGTGAGGTCACATTAATAAAGTGAGACAGCTGCAGATCGCAATGTGCAGACCTTGGCTGTTTTCCCTTCGGGTCTTTTTTCTTTTTCTTTTTTTAAATTAGATTTTTCTTCTACGTTTCAGTGAAGTACGACTACATCGGCAAGCTTCTGAAGCCAGGAGAGGAGCCGACCGAGTACACCGATGACGAGGAAGGAAAAAACAAGAAGGCGAACTAAAACATGAACCGTGACCACAAGGGGAACAAGATGCCTTAATGTATATTGGTAATTTGATAACCCTAATAGGGTCGCTGGAAAACTCCTCCACCTTCTGTCCATCTACCACTACTTTTGGACCAATCTCGGCTTGTATACAATGACTGAATTCAGTTTATCTTTATTAATCTCGTCTGAAGGCATTAACGGTTAGAAATGCAGCTTTCTAATGTAGAGTTCTTTAATTGTTTAGAGCTGTTACTGTAATCTCTCAAACACTGATCCACCAACCAATCCCAGCGTTTTGTTGAGCTCCTGGTAGTTATGTGGTGCTGAAAAAGGTGATCAGCTCATCTTGATGGTTGCCAGGTTTCGCTGAAGGGTCTCAGGAAGCAATTTTTGGTTATGATTGGCTGCCCATCAGAAACACCAGGCAGAGTTCTGTGCCTGAGATAACCATATTGCTGACATCCCCTCTCTGTGACCTCACAGAGACCCAAAAGTAGAAAAAACTGTCTGAAACTGAGCAGTGTAAAGTCTGAACCTTTGGCTCACAGGGGTTAGTTGTACATTTGAGTCTTTGGGCCTGTGTGATAAGAAAATCCATTGCTGTAAGATGACATAAATCACAGGAAATAATAATACACTGCCCTTGACACAGACTTGCGTCATTAAATCAAGGCCTTAAAGGAGGTAGTCTAAACACTGCTGGTGTCATTGTTCTGTAGCCGCTACATTGTGCAGTTCCTAACATGATAAGTTAAATCTAAAACTCGTCCATTGTCACTTTAATTATAAGAGTAAGTACATTTTCCTTACAAACTACATCTAACTTTCACATCAGGCCTGTTGTACTGATGATCTCTGAAGATTTGTACCTGCATGCATGTTCAAACTGTAAGAGGATGATGATGTACCATAGGTCTGTTATCCCTACCCTTCGGTTTACTCCTAACAGTTCCTGTAGCTGGAAAAAAATATTCCAAGTATAAAAGTCAAATTTTGCATGGCATAATTAAATACACTAAATCTGTCCCAAAAATGAGCTGATTTTGAGGGGATTTGGTGGGAACCTTTAACATATTTGATTGATCTTATATCAATGGCTCCATAGTCACTATTAACAAGTGAAAGATCCCTGGTTTGACGCCAGGAAGAGACACAGATCCCTTTGGGGTTCTTTAAGGGTATCGCTCAGGAGGGAACAGCTGAAAGTAGCTTTATAATACTACTGTGACAGTGCAGGTTGATGTGTTTCCTCTGCATGGAAAGGCCATCTTCTCTCTCCCTCTGCTGTTTCCTGCGATCTTACCACAGAACAGCAGTTAAGCATTTTAGCATCTGGATTCAACATCCCAGACAAAGGATTTGCTGCTCTTTTCATTCTCAATTTGCTTTTCGACCTGTAAAAGCAGTAGACAAAACCTTGTCAGTAAATGAATTAGAAAAAATGCGTAATGGTAAGTGCGGTCACCGTGGTGCTCCTTTAAACGAACAAACATTTGGAAATTATTTCCCCCCATTTATTCTGTTTACCTTGATTTTAACACTAAATCCATGATGACAGAGAGACCAAAACCAACCCTCAGATCAGCTGTCATGGACGTAACAGCTAAACTTTGAAGCGTTTTCAAGCCTTCAGACGTGAGTTCATTTGTAACTCAGGAGTTGTTTCTGACTGTAGAAAAATGTTTTCTTCTATGTAACTTCCATTTAAAACAAACAAAACATCCAATATGTTGACATTCCTAGTATGCGTATATATATTATTCATCATACAGTCATACTGTTATAATCCTGAAATGATGTTTTGATTTAATTAAAAAAACTACAATATGAAGACTTAACTGTCTTGTGTCTTTCTATATCTATATTTAGAATTTTATTGAACATGTTTACATGCCTTTATGTTTATGCCCAATTCCAACCCTACCATCTGAATGGCTCAGCACAAATTAAGACTCATTAGACCATGTGATGTTTTTCCAGTCTCCTATTTGCCGAATCCACGCAAGCTCTTCTGACAGGAGTGGCACCCAGTGTGGTCTTTTCCTGATGTAGCCCATCTGGTTTAAGTTTCAGTGTGTTGTGTGCTCAGAGATGCTCTTCTGCATACCGCGGTTATAACGAGTCGTGTCATGGTGTGAGGACAACAACCTTGCCTTCAACACTGATAAGACAAAGGAGATAATAGTGGACATGAGGAAGAACAGCAGCACTACTGCTATGGACTGCCCTCAAGATGAAGGTTCAGAAGTGTGAAATCTAGAACATCCTGACTCAACAACTCCTTTTTCCCCACTGCTATCAGACTCCTGAACAGCTGACCTACCTCAACTGCAATTTTGCACATCAGGTTGCTTTGCACATTAAGCTCCTTTGTACATCCATCTACATCAACATCTGCATACCACACTTTTCTTTGCTTACTTATTTGTAATTATTTATCTTTTTTATTATTTTTTATCCGTATTTTATCTTTTTATTTATTTAATTTAATTTAATTTAATTTTTGTTCTTTTACCCCTTACCTAACTTTTCTGCAACAGTTTTCTACACTTCATTTACATCTGAAAAGCACTCTGATTTTAAAAAGTCCTGGATTGTGCCTGACAAACACACGATTCCTACAAAATGCAGAGTGAGTACTTGTGCAGAAAGCTCAGAACATTAGCATAAATGTTTGAGCTGGTAAACTTGTTAATTAGTTATAAACTAATTTGTAGAAATTAACTAATAACCTACTCAGCCTACCCTAATCATTTTGTATCATCGATTTTAACCAAAAAGTTATGTGTCAGAAGTGGGATTCGAACCCACGCCTCCATTCGGAGACCAGAAGTCCCGTCTCTGCGGAAGGAGATTATCCTTGAGTCTGGCGCCTTAGACCACTCGGCCATCCTGACACGGTGCTCAACGATGTTGTTAGTAGGGGTCTTAACCCTAACACCGTGTAGCCTATGATTTGATTTGATTGTAATATATATCGTTATATTTCTTAACAAAAGCAACTGCCAGTTATGTGAGCGTATTTTACAACTTTATCTCAGCTTAAAGTGCGTATTTATCTTCTGTATTCACTTTTAATGTTCAGACTTTATCTGCGCATGCTCGTTTTAAGACTCGTGATGATGCTGCGTTCAGGGAATTTAGAAGAGTGGGATAAATATGAAGTCATTTATATTATCTTTAGCGGATATCCGTTTAATTTGACATAACTAAGCATCAGCATTAATTCCACAGGTTTTTAATATAGTAGGTTGATGTGAAAATTGAAAAACATCGTCACGAGAACAGCTCGTTTGCTAGCGGAGACCAGAGCCTTTTTATGGAAGGTTGAATGACTTACTCAAGTACAGTGGCGGGGACTATTTTACTATTGAACATGAACGCAGCATAACTTCCGCTTTGTCTACGTGCGGCGGCCATATTACACTTCCGTGCTTCAAGGGTATCTGAAGACATCAGGCTAGGCAACATGTACCGGTTTGGTAAAGCTGCAGTGAACATTAGCGGTAAGAAAGCAGTTATTTTCATATAAACTCGCCCTAAATGGTTGCGTTTTTAGATCGGTGTGCTGTTTAATACTAGTTGACCTGGAGAATGACAGTTTGATGGGCCGGTGACCGCAGTCAGCGTGCAGACAGGCTAACCTTAACAACCCTGAAGGAGGAAATCTTAAAAAGCTGTTTTCCCGATTAATTTAATAACCAGAGTTATATCCCGTAAGTGAGAGTCATTATTAGGTAGTCGTTTTAAAGTGCTCCTTATTCAATAAACATGTCGTTGTCCGACCCTCTGACCTGCGTAACTCGAAGACGTGACAGGCTAACACACTTGCAATGCTCATTTCTTTATCGAGTGTTTATCCTAGTATGCATTCATTTTTGAAAGTACCCATCTGATGTGAGAGTGCGATACTGCAAGGGCAAATAAGATTAGTAAATCTCTTGACTTGCCCTTCTAAAAGAGGCTAGCAGAAAGCGAAATTGATTGTGGAAGTATTGAGCTTAACAATTCCTGAGAAAATATTTAATACAGCGAATTGTACTCACAAATACTATTTATTACAGGAGAGCAGAATGTACGTGCTTATTTTAAGCATGTATTGGTTTCTTTAAACCCCACTTTAAAAATGAGTTACTGTGTATGTTATGAAAGGGGACAGAACTGTAAAAATACACAAAAACACATAGTTTAGATAGAAAATAGAAGCGCTCCATGAATACCTCTACATATACATCAATAATAAGATGAAGTAAAAAAATTAAACAAGTTTTTTTTAGATTTGTTTTGTTTTTATCATTAGTTTCTGTTACTGATTGATTTTGTTCCCTATTTTTTTTTTTTAATTGATTGTTTCCAGTAGTTTCTGTATATCATCTCTTTTCATTCTGACAGCTCAGTCATTAACATGAGGACTGTTTCTTCTTGTCATGTAGGCCAGGCCATGCGGCAGGTGAGGCATGGATCCAACCTCCCCCAGAATTTCCACTCAAAGTACGGTGCCGGTGTGTTGGTCAGTGGAGCCATCTTCTGCACAGCCGTGTGGGGATACGTAAGTTTGATCACATCACATTCAGTTATGAGCATGACCTGAACAGACCTTAAGATTGATAATATAGTCAGTGTGGTTGGATGTTTGGTGTGGGGGGAGGAGGAATAATCTATTTTTAAAGATAACAAAAAACATTGCGGTTAGTTTGGACGATACTGAGATCACATTTGTTAAAACTATACTTTGGTTTAATTCAGTTTAAAACAGAATAAATGACTTAAATAAAGCAATTGCCAAGGTTTTGGGGACTGAATATAGACTCCCTACTGAATTGAGACGTTTGTTTCAAAATGAAATTCTACAGAATAACCATTTTTTTCTCTATTGGTGTTTTTATTAAATGGCAAAAGTAATTAAAAACAAAGTTTGATAACTGCACAGTCGCATTTTCCACTGATATGCAAATTTTTCAGTTTTTTTAAAAATTGGTTTCATATTTCCAAACTTGTCTGTTTTCTCATTTTCACCAGGCAATACTGAAAAAATAAATTTGACTTCTCTTGCTTCAGGTGCTAACTTCGACTGGCATCACCTGGAATCTGTCACCTGTCGGGAAGATCCAGCCCAAACCGTGGAGAGAGGAGTGAAGAGGTGCCATGACGGAGCTACCTTCCATCTAACCCTTCTGTTTGTACAGATGAATAAAATATCTGCGTGTTCAGACAGCAAATGCTCTTCTTTATTCCAACATGTTTCTTTGTCCAAATAAATTAAGTGTGATTCTACTGACTCCATCTGTTTGAATAAAGTTATTAGTTGGCTTGATATCAGACAGAACTGTTTTGAACTGAGGAAAAGTGAGTTGCTGAAGGGCATTAAAACATTTAAATAATACAGATTTTACTACCTGCCGTGTGTTTTTATTAGGCTTTTTAACAGAGGCTTAAGACATTTGAAAGGAGCAATATGGTAATCTAAAATTACAAGGTTTGTGTGATCATGAGAAATACAGGCCTGAAAAACGAAAATAACCTGGAAAGCTTTGAATACCAATGTAGTCAGATTTTTAGTACACTCACTGGTACCAACCCATGTAGTTGACTTGAGATGAAGTTGAAGAATTTGAAGGTCATCCTTCATTCCATTCCATTTGTGTTCAATGTACCAGTACCACTGTACCAGCCCCAGAGCATGATGCTATCTTTTTTGGGACCTTTGCAAAGTGGTGACACATTTTCTAACTAATGTACTCAGTACATCTAATATATTCATCCAAGGATGTGTATACAATAAATAATCTGTTAAAAGATTTCTTAAGTTTTAGTTACTGGTATGTTTTTAAAATGTATTATGAATTTCATTCATTTATTCAAAAGTATTAATCGGTATTGACAGTTTTTACCTTACAGATATTACTTTCCTTATTAACCTAATTATATTTTTCCTTCATGTGCTTATTTTTGCAAAAATAATATCCTTGATGCTTTTGCCAGGGGTAGATCTAGAGAAATGTCCTTAGGTTTTTTTTTTACACATATGCAGCTGTTACTTTCTGTAATATGTATTATATATGGTTAAAATACATCAAAGTATACACATTTCATTTAAATATAGTCTAACACACAAATCTAACTCAAGCATCACACTCTTTTTTTTAATAGAAAAAATAAAATTGTAACTTGAGGTTTGTTACATTACATGAGAACACCACAGGCCTAAAACCTGCAGGTCTAACAATGGGAGGTGTATTGCTCCTCCTTTTTTCCACTTAGAGACAGCATTGCCTACTTTGACATTCAATAGTACCCTAATTTTTTTAACACACAAAACCAAACAATGACTACACTACACACTGACTATACTAGACAATGCTACACACTAACCACACCACAAAATGCTAAACTTCACAAATCTCTCACATTTCAAAACTCGCTCTCTCTCTCGCATTAGTCACACAAACCTCATGTGCTGCCATATCATTTTTTTATTGGGCGACACAGTACATTTTTCGTGGTAGCATTTTTTTTTTCTTTTTTTGTGCTGTCATTTGAAAATGACGTTTTTACCATTTTTTTCCTGCACTAAACGTGATGACAGTATTCAGGAAAAAAAGCATCAGTATATATAGTTTATTTTAATCATAATTATGGTTTTAGTGGCTATCAATAAAATTTAAAAAGAGCATATAGGCAGGGGGCGATCTACAGGGGTGGCATAGGGTGGCATGTGGAACCCTAAAATAATTTCTTGTCCCCCTTAGTGCCACCCTAGTTTTGCAGATGACTGACTGACTGGGGTGACAAAAGATTATTATATGGCGGCACATGCCACCCAATGCCATGACTGTAGATCCGTCCCTGGCCTTTGCTATATCTTCTAAAGCAGGGGTGCCCAATCCCGGTCCTCGAGAGCTACTATCCTGCAGCTTTTAGATGCATCCCTACTCCAACACAGCTGAATCAAATGGTTTGATCTCTTCAGCATGCCATCATGTTTGGCAAAGGCCTGATAACAAGCCATTCATTTGATTCAGGTGTGTGGGAACAAGGATGCATCTAAAAGCTGCAGGACGGTAGCTCTCGAGGACCGGGATTGGGCACCCCTGTTCTAAAGTATGCAGGAGGGGAGGGGGGTTGAATGACATCCACTAAGTTCAGCTGATGCAGTAATCAGGAAGCATCAGAAGATAAACAGCAAACCGATCCAATCAGCGTGGAAGCTCTCCTAATGCATTAGCCAATCAGCAGCGGCGGGTGTGCGATTTGCCCTGCCCGGTGGTGTTCCTCCGCTGCGCTAAGGTCACCGCTGTCATTCGGTAGCTAACCAACAGCCGAAGGAGGCGGAGGAGATCCAGCAAAGGAAGGTGCACGAAAGAAGCAGCTAAACTCAGCAAAATGTCTCTGTCTAACAAACTCACCCTGGACAAGGTGGACGTCAAGGGGAAGCGGGTCGTTATGAGGTGAGCGTTAATTATCGCCTGGCAGTTAGCTTCTGCTGGCACCGTAGCGGCTAATCGGAAATGAGATTATTGATGAGCTTCTCCAAAATGTCGTGTTTGTTCTTCCTGCGGTGGCAGACTGTTTGGTGCTCACACACAGTGATGTGAGGGCATTAAAGTGATGGCTAAATGGTGTCTGAGTCGGTTTAGTCCGACGGGCAGACGACAGGAAGTGAACTCGTCGGTTGTCACGTTTTCCTTTCATGTTACGTGCCTGTGCGGAGATGCTGCATGGATGGATGGAACCACTGGCATCCGAGTCAGTCCTGTAAAATACACCAGCATCCCTCTAATAATAATGAGTTTGTCAGTTTAAAAACCTGAAAATTGATGATGAATGTTAGTGAAGTCTTCAGATTTCAGCTTAGGCCTCAAAGGAGATTTTAAAGGTGATGATTCAGACAGCACCAGGAACTATTTCATATATAGAGGGAAAACTAGCAATTGTTGGCGTTATCTATTTGGTTATCAATTTCATAGTTAATGATAATCGACAAAAAATAGCTATCGCAAATATCCAGATTCACATTTTGACATCCATTCTCAGTAGTTTAGGAGGCCCAAAACAACCCAAAAAAGTTGAGTGATTTTTGAGCTGGGATATGAAGGTTGAGCCAAAGAAACACAAAACTGAATCAAACAAGACTCTGACTTTATTAATCAGCCGACTGATCCACTTTAACAGGTAATGATTAGGTCACTGGCAATTCAGTCCAATTTGTTTGTTTTATTTTATTATTATTCCTATCTTCCAGTGAAATCTCTCTAGCAGAAAAGATGCCCTGCATCCTAACTGGACACAACTGAAGTCAAATTTATATTAGTCTAATTTGGCAGTCATTCACTTTATGTTTCTGCAGCCCCCTCCAGTGATGTTGAAGGCACTTTTGAAACTGACACCATGTGTGAAAATGTCAGAGGGCCATGCTGGTTCGCTCAGTTTGGTGATGCAACACCAGGTGGCTTAGAACAAGGGTCACCCGTATTGCTGAGTGTTAAAAGGTCAAAATTCACCACATGTTGAGTTATCCTAAATGTGAGCGAATGTTGTGCCGGTCTAAGACAGTTAGACAATGGGTTACGTCAGATCACACCCAGGGCCTGTCGTGGCATGACACATGGTGGTGGTGGGTTTTTTTCCCCCAGATTCAGATGGAGGCAGTGAATCGGTGTTTCCTTACTGAGCAAGGCTGGCCCTGAATTTAAAAGGGGGAGGGGCTCTTTATTGAAAAGGGGAAAGGGCTCTATGTTGCTATAGAGACCTGAAGTGGCTGACAGAATTGAAATGTGTTCAGCAGAGACTTGCAGCCGGCTTCCTCTGTCATGTAGGCTCCTGCTGCAGCAGCATGAAACATGTCAGATTTAGGGTTGCAAAATTCCAGCGAACAGAAAGATGAAGGCAAAAATGGAGAGTCAAACACACTAGTGCTTTTTGGGGCTCTGTACAAAAGTGAGAAATACCCTCACATGTTAATGTACCAAACTTTACAGCATTAAAAAAAAAAAAGTTTAAAGTTTTACTTGATGGATTGCAGTAGACTTGAAGTCTACTGCATGTGAATCTGCAATAACCAAACACTACTTTATTAAGTCTTTATTAAGTGACTGAAAATTCCCATGAAAATCAGCTGCTGAGCTGCTGTTAACTCCTTCATTGAGCTTATTTCTAGTTGTAAAGCATCTAAAAGAGCTTTAGAGTCCACTGTGCTATAAACCGTATAAAGATCTGCATTCAACAGCAACAGGGGGGGAAATGCAGAAATTTACAGAAGTAAAGCGGAAAACTATCACAGCTTTGGGATGAGTGGCATCTGTGAACAAGATCCTACTGTTGAGCCTCTGAATTGCTGACTGATGGCTTTCAGACTAAGACAGTGGATTGCTGTAACAATGACTGCAGGTACCGAGTGCCTGCACGGCTGATCACATCTCAGAGCATCAGGTCCCCAGAGGGAGGGAAAGGAGAGGCAGTTATGTAACCGGCTGGAGTACGAGGGACACGGCGTGTACTCTAAGCTGCCAGTGTGCATCTATGAAAAGGAAAACTGTTTCAGTTCCTGGCTCAAAATGGGCTTTTTTTCTTTTTCCACCTTTAAAAACAAAACAAAGTCGACCAATTTCATGCATGAGTAAAAATTTTTATTACTGTCCTGATGATTTTTGGGGGGGGATTCAAGGTTAAAACCTTGAAGGTTAAAACGTATGTTCCTCTCTACATAGGAAATAAAAATAAAGCGTGCTAAAAGTCATTTTAGAGGAAAGCTTCTCAGCTAATGGTATTGACTGCTTGGCATCAGGGGACTCGAGCTGTGTATAGCTGACTCCAGGAGTCAATAGAGGAAGGAGAAGGGACCAAACACTGAGCTAAAAATGGTGAAAGATTTAAATCAAGACCTCCTGTCTCAGCTGCCACTTACATCTGGTTTCTAACAAATGGGTAAGGGGTATAGTAGAGCTGGGCGATATGAGATTTTTTCATATCACGATATGTTTTTTTCATTTCAGGCGATAACGATAT